TCTGTGCACATTTCACATATCCAGCAAAACACTTATCTCTAAATAAGCACCTACTTCTTTGGGGTCATTCCTGACTAAAAAACGAGGTAATAGCAGTCAGAAAAACAGAGTGCACCTTCTTATCTTTACAGCTAAAGGTCTGACGTAAAAACGATTTGGCAGCTCCGTCCTTCCTTTGAGATACCAGAACACCACAAGAAAGGACCTGTGTCAGTGCAGAGTGCACCGGACAGGGAACCAAAGGAAGAGCTCCGTGGCTTTGCTCACCTTGCTTTGTGTAGATTTGGAGAATMTCTTCTGAATTCTGGATCTCTCTGACTTTGATCAGATGTGTTTTCTCTGCTTTACAACCTACAATCCACATACATTGCCATTACAAGGGAATGAAAGGGATAGCAGGGAGATGATTTGGTCCCACAGACAAGATGATGATATTTATCTCAAATATGTGATGGATTTAAGACAAGTCTTTCTGCTGCCTCTCACAAATCACTTCCCCTCCTCTCTGCTTGCTGAGACCCACAGGTGAGATGCTTTGTGACAAGGACTCCAAAATAAGAGAAAAAGCACTTTTTCCAGAAGCTCAGAGTACTGCCCTGATTCATTTTTTCAGTTCACATACATTATTATAGCCCTTTTTTTTTTTTTTTTTTTTTTTTTTTTTTTTTTTTTTTTTTTTTTTTTTTTTTTTTTTTTTTACAGCATGGGAATTGAAAAGCACTGGATCTGTGCTCGGTTTGGACCTGCAAAATACCATGTTGAGAAGCAGATTTATTGACCAATCCTGGTATCAGTCCACAGTGCCAAAGCGAGACGTGTGTTTGGGAGAGCAGAATCACATATCTAAGGGACACATGGATGTCCTCATCTCMAAACCCACTGACACTCAGTGCAGGTCCCTGGTGGGCACCTGGTACTGMAACAAACCTGGAACCTCCTTAAATCCTCAAAGCCAGAGCAGGTCACTTGTACCCAACAAATTTCCTTTCAAAACACCAAATTAGCATGACAGGAAAAAGCAAACTGACAGCAAAACCCCAAAATATCATTCATAAATTTCACAAAGCCCCAGAATATCATTAATAAGTTTCACTAAACCTCACATACCATAAAGCTAGCCCTTCCCTTTTCTAAACACTGTTTGTTTGTACAAATTTCCCCAAAATAACTTTGGTGTTGGSATGTCAGCCACACTCCTGCCTCATACCTCACTGGACTGAGATCAAACCCTGAAGAAAGACTTTGCAAAACTTCACAAGGCCAAAGAAACCAAGCAGACAGTAATTTTCCAAGCCCGACATAATGACTGTTTGCAAAACTTACTACATGAAATTGAAACAAAAATCAATCAATGGATCCTGTTTACCACTCAAGACAGTCATAAAAACTGATGCATCAGSGGTGATAAAGCTTTTACTAACCTTTGTGTTATCTACTTCTATTGACTCTCCTGGCTCTCCAGATTGCCCACTTGCAATTCTTCAGTMTGGCAACAGCTCTGATCAGTTTTCATTTTCCCTTTATAYTCTCAGCAGAAGGGGCAAATAATTWATCACCTTCATGGCTTGTTTTCCTAAAGCTGAGCTGTATTTTCTAGAGCTGTAATGMTGCAAGAAAAATAGAGTTTACTCTRATTCCAGGAGCAGATCCAGCCCATCTATTTCCCATTTTGGAAATGCACAGTTAGCTCTGGAGCACAAGGGGMACTCTAGGTCTAGTAAAACACAGACTGGCAACATGTGAGCAGTTCACTTCCCTGAAGCACTAAATCTTTTAAAAGGTTTTTTTTTTTTTTTTGCACAAGTGCTGGTATACTTCTGCAGCCAGATCTATTTCGGGAGCTCAGCATCCAGTCCTCATCTCACACTGGCTTCTCACACTCTGTGCCCCATTGCATGCTCTTTCCACAAACTCAGGGATGGCTGAGAATGGAGAGGAAAAAACAGTGGCAGGAAGRCTTTTCCTGAACCAGTTTACAGGAGCATATAAAGGCAGAACTGTGTGTGAAGGAAACAGTTTTTACCTTGAAGAGTCTCTGTGGAGAGACTGAAATAAACCTTTTACCAAAGGATGCTTATGYCCTGAATGGTCTGGTTGTCTGCAAGCAAATGGAATGATGTGGGGAGACAGCAGCCAAAACCCCAGGTGCCACTGCAGCATGGCAGCTCTGGCGTTTGCAAGATGCTTCTTATCAGACAGAGAACTCCAAGAGTGCCTCCAAGKGAGMTAAGCACTTCAAGAGAAACCACAGYTCTGTTTGTAAGCACAAGTTCTACTGCAGTGGTGTAAATAAAAAGASCTCAGTTCTGTCCTAGTCTGGATGCAGCTCTAAAGCTAGGAKAATATTTATATTTGTATAGGGTATYCTGATGAGRAATGTGGAATAATTTGTTTCAGGAAAAATTACTTCTATCAGTATAAAATTGTATCATTCCCTGATCTATATTACATTACTGTAGCTATGCCAGTAAAAGAAAAATCCCACCTCTAAATGACATTATAATGCTGATTTCAAGCCCATGCACAGACCAGGTACTCACTKCAGGCTCCATTTCCTGCTTCCTCACAGTAGCACTGCAAGTTTACATCTTCTCGACAACATATTTTGACTGTTCTCTGGCTCTCCTGCCCACACACCATACACAAGAAGTTAATTTGTTTCCCCAGTTGCTGTAGATTAGTCAYAAGTGTTTCTTGGGCACTCCAGAGGAATTCTAGCCCCTACATCCTTGTCGTCTATCCCAGCAGCTGCAAGGAGAGCTTTGTGACTCAATTTTTAGGAGTGAAGTCCAGCTGAGTTACTTGCAGTCTGGCAAAATGGTCAGAGACTACTGAATGAGGGGGATTAAGCTTTCAAAACAGAATTTCAGCTCTGGCCTTGAAAGGACATTACATGGTGTACTCCAAAAAGCAGTTTTTCACTCAGTGCACTCTTCTTGGCCAAGAACTGTCAGAATACCAAATCCATGTTTTCCTTTTCCCTCTGTTTCTAGTGAGCTSTGTGCTGCCCCAGTAGAGCACAAATGTTTCTCTGTCAGACTCATTTCAGGGAAAGAAAAGAAGCCTGTGTGAGCAAGCTCAGGTTCCTTGGGGCAGGAACAAATCCATTCTGGTACTGAGACCTTGAGCAYACACACTAAAGGCTTGTTGAGCCAGCTACTGCTCCTGTCTCTCCCAAAGCCAGTGGGATACTGAAGCTCCACATGAAATTGCTCCAGGGGTTTGCAGCTCCGTTATCAAGGCAACCTGAAATAAGCACAGTTTAATKTACCAGGTTGAAAGCTGCTGGTTCTGGGTCAGCTTCATGTGCAATTCCATGAGATCTGAGAAGGCACCAAGTGAAAAACTAACTGGAGGCAGTTATTGATTCAGTCATCTGCCCTTAATTAACTTCTATTGCCCCAATACCGCTGGAATTAAATATGGATCAAGCCAGAACTCAGAGCTTGCTCTAAATTACAGATTAATCTTGAAGCAGACCCTTGCAAAGCTCCTTGTTTTCCTCTCTGCCAGCTCACATTTCAGTTCCTGATGTGCTAGCTGGAATGCCAGCCCTTTCCACATTTACCATGSACTGAAATTTGCAGCTGTGAGAGATGTTTTGGGCAGCTCTTTGTCGGTGTGCTGTGCTCCCAAATAGCTCTGAGGACTGAGCAATGTTCATTCAGAGATTTCCCTGCAATCTATGTTAATACTCCAATATTTTCAAGCAGGACCCCTGGAACTAAGTTTTGTCATGTCAGGATGCATTTATGTCAAGTTTCTTGGCTGGTGATGAAGAGATGTTTGCTAATTACAGACTATGAGAATMCAGGGAGCTGTTTAAAGGTGTCCAGGACAGACAGGGCAGGAGCGGTTTGCACTGAGAGTCCTGAGATGCCTTAGTGGGGTTGGGAAAAGCCAATGTGTATTCATGCAGCACACCAGCATGCTCCTAAATCCCAGATTTCATTTAATAAAGCAGTAAGCCTCTTGATCTTACAGTCCTGATAAAAAAAATGTCAGCAATGTGAGCAGAATGTAATCAAGGCAGAGGTGGCAAAGGATGTCAGGAAGAACAGCTCTGAAGGGCATGAACTGCACCAGACAGCACCCAGAAATGGCTTCTGTGCCAACATTTTAGACAAAGCCCTTTTTTAATTGGGGGGAAAAGAAAAGAGAATAGTGTGATGAATGAGAACAATTTTGTGACAATTCAAGTTGTCCACCAAAATCAGGGAGAGTTTCTACTTCATGTAGTAATCCCAATTAAAGGCAGCCCCACAAAGCCCATGGGCAAATTAAAGACATTCAAACTCAGAGAGTTCTCCAGAGCCCAGGGAGACACTGTTCTGCTTCAAGCACCTTGTGTTTTACTCTTCCTCTGACCCTGCAGTCAGGACTTGGGAACCTTTGGGAGACCATTACATTTTGTTTCCTTGACTGGACACTGCTGATTGCTGTTCTCAGCCAGAAATGCAGTCATATGTAACAGGCATTTATTCACTCTTCATAAAACAATAAACACACCCCTCACATAATGTGATTTTAATGCATTTATCCTCTGTGTGGGTCTGCAGCTGCAGTGTTTGCATCGATTGAGGGAGCAGCATCCTGGTTTTGCTTTGCTGTGAGGTGATGGTCACTGTCATGACTGAGGCAGCCTGGGACAGAGCTGTGCTGGGGAAGCCTCTGGCACTTGTGGAAATCTCCTGGCTGCCCCTCTTTGAGGCTGAGCATCCCTCTGGTTTTCCTACATTTTGGCTTCAGCGTTAGAACAGGAGACGCAGCGTTTGTGAGTGAGGCAATCGGGGCAGTGTGCAGGGCTGGTACAGCCTCACTCAGAATGGAAACAGGACTTTGAGCCGGCTGAGAGAACAAGGGGGTGTCTTATGCTGCAGCCAGCTCAAGTATTAAAGCCATTTCGTAAGCASGGAGTGCAGCCAAGCCTGTCAGCACACGTTATAAACCTGAGCTGGGGCAGTCTCCGCTGAGATGGGTCTGTGGGACCTGCTCTCAGGGCTGCTGGAGGCAATCACTGCAATTCCTCCTTCAGGGCTTTCAAAGAGACATGGCACAGACTGGATTTAGGATTTTGCTACTCATAAGCTTGCTACTGCTGGATCAGACCATCAGCCAGGCTTCCAAATTCAAAGCCAGGAAGCACAGCAAACGTAGAGTGAAAGGTACTGGGTCTGAACTGGGAGGAGGGGTAGAAGCTTATGGACTATGCAAATTTACTGTGTGCTTTAAATAGCATTGCATGAACTAAAAACTAACATTACACAAATGTGAATTTATAAAGGACATTTGAGTCTACATTATATATAATCTGCCTTTAAAATACTTTTCTGTGCATTAGCAAAGCCACAAATAAGGTGCCAGAATGAATTATGGAAATAGAGCTGTACAACAGCTGCAAATACATTGCTCTGTTACAACTCTTCACCTGTGTCAACATTATTTAGAGCTCACAGGTACAGCTGAGAGAGAATTCTGGTTATGTATCTATATTGACTAAGATCAGAAAAATGGAAATTCATGTATATAGGGGAAACAAGAGAAGTATTCAGTCTCCAAGGATTGCTGTTCAGATTTTTGTACCATTTCCTAATTTTAACAGAATGTCTGTCTACTCTTTGTGGAATGTTATTCCACTTGTGTGAAAAGTACTGTGAAATGGCAAGTCAAACTAATTAGCAGGTCAACATCAAAGAATTAGCAGGAAAAGACAAAGCATCAGTWCCCACAGCAAAGTTTACAGAGCAAAGAGAAAACAAACCCACMGAATGTTTTTTAGAAATGTCTGTGTATTTAATTTAAAGACTCATTTCTAGTAAAATCGGGTATGATGGAGGCTACACGAATGGCAAATATTTGAACTCTTAGTTAATTAAAAAACTGTGGCTTTGATAAAGGCATTGTACAAGAAGATTGTGTTGCTCTGGAGCCACACTCTTGTAGGCACTTGCTTCTCCTTTGGAATCTCTAGGGTTTTAAGCTTGGGGTCTTAGGGCAAGCAGACAGGAATCCTACAGGAATGTTATAATTAAGGACAAATCTTTAAAAATAATCAAAACACATCTCAGCAAAGCAGCAGCCTAAGGTATTTTGAAACAGCTTTTAACATGGAATTTCTAAAATGTTTTGTGTTTGCATATCTGTTAACTTCTGTATGTTCCTTCTGTGTAAGAAAAAGATGACCTGAAGACTCAGATTGACAAGTTGTGGCGAGAAGTAAATGCTCTGAAGGAAATACAAGCACTCCAGACAGGTAAAGCAGCTAATGCTGGTCAGTGGCTTCCAAAAGCTGTCCCTGCCTCTCTCCTTCACTCCCATCCCTCTCTTTAATGGGATTTTGTGACTGAGGAATAGAGTTCCATAAAAACATGGCATGCCATAGCTGTGCCAGACACACAAGTGTTGAAGGAAGCATTCAAGTAAAATCAGGTCTCAACTAATTTTACTTAGTTAGGTAAAGTTTACTTGGGGAAGGAGTGGTGATTCTTCACCAGGAGCTAATCTGGAGCAATTATTTTTGTCTTTGCCCTACACAGCTCCAAGCTCTGAGTTTTGTATCATCCAAGGCAGCACAATGAGCATTTCTAGGTCTGAGAGTTTCAGTGGTCAACAATTTAAGTGCCCAGCTTTGATATGAACATATATTTGAATGTGAATGTTGCCATAAAACTTCAAAGTTGTATCCACTGTGAGTTCAGAAATATCCTGGACCAACGTGTAGAATTCTTTAAGCATTGAAATAACCAGATGGAAATTTCCAAACAAAATAAGAAGGGTAAATACACTCGTACCTACTAGACAGTWGTGCTTTTTCACAGCTGTTGACACAAAACTTGGCATTTAAACATGTACAGGAGGACATTACTGGGGAAATTACATCATTCTCATGAAACAGTGTATTTTCCTTAGGGATGGTAATATCTGGGTTATCCAGTTTTATGTCTTGTGTTRCAAAGAGCTTTATGAGCTTTACAAACTATTTTTATTTCAAATGTCTTATAAGAAGGCTTTAGAAGTTTCTTAAAAGAGGAAGCCCAAGCTAGACAAGTAACTCTTGTTTAAAAGTAATTCTTGTGCTGCTTCCAGAAGGAGCTTGAGASCAAGCATGCAGTGGCTTAGAAATGAAACCAGAGCTGGGAGACTTTCTATCCTCAAAACTTATTTTGAGCTTTATTCTAAATTTATAACCCACACTGTTCAGCTGGATTCCAAATCTGGCAAAAAGACACCTATCACCCCCTTAGCTCTGACTTTGTTCATGTCCTTGTGATAACTGAAAAAAGGAGCTCCTTTTTCAGCTTATGGACATTTCCAAGACACACCTTAAAAATCTGATTTCTTCTTTTGCTTGAATTTCCTTGCTCTCCTTTCTACATAGARTGAAATGTGAAATGGTACCACACACCATTGTGCAGCACATACTTTCTGCCTAAAGAGATCCAGTCCTTACAATTTCTGCAGCATGGCTGAAGTAAAGTCTCTCTGATCTTTCCAATGAATATAAATTTGTAAAGGATTCCACATTTAATAAAGATATTTATTACTTCTCTTTGGCCATTAGCAGTTGGAAGGGTTAAAATTTGAAGATTAAGCCTTAATATAAAATGATGACTCTGAAAATGCAGCTAAGGAATGCAGTGAACATTAAAAACTGGRAATACTAAAAGCCTGAGACCTAGGAAGTGGCCCAAACTGATTTCTATATCCTGTTGATCAGAGACATAATTACTTTTTTACAAGAACAGATGATAGGAATTAGAAGCAGATTACAGAAAACATCAGGACAGAAGATGCACACAAGTACAAGGTGAGCTTAAACAATAGAAGAAATAATCTGCATGGATTCTAAAAATAATTGGCACAGGAGTCTATTCAAGGTCTTAGATACCTTCCTCAGCTCAGAAGAAACACTCCACCAAGGAGGGTTCCCCCGCCATCACTATTTTTCTTGGGAGAATTAGTTTTTCTGAAAATCTGCATTAGGAGAGAAGGCAAAGTTTAAGGATTCCCTCCTGTGCTCTTGCCCCGACAGACCTCGGGCTGGAACAACTCCTGCAGCAGCTCTGCAAGGCAATTCCTGCTCCATTAGGACTTTACACCAAACTTCCCTARCAGAAGTAAAGCTAACAGATTTGTAAATTCAAAAGTTTAGAAGATTGGGTCCAGATTGTCCTGCCAGCTCAGTAGCAAGTGTGCACTTTTAAAAARCATTTATAGATTTAAGTCACTTTACCTCATTTGAATTTAGAGTTTGAAGGGAGAGACTGCTGGAAAGAATATAAATTAACACCTAGAGAGGTGAATACGCAACCTTCTGCAGGTAGAATTACACTTTTATTGATCACTCAGAGATTAGTATTGTGAATTTCAAACCAGTATTTTCCTGGTCAGCAGGACATATTTAATACAGCACTTTTCTGTCCTGCCTTTACTGGAAACTGAGCTTAGACAAGRTGTAAAACATTTAGATCTGTCTCCACTATAAAGCCAGAGATTTCCTGCTGACCAACTTACATCTGCCAGTAACACAAACATCCATACCTCAACTCATTCCATGAGTGTCAAGACTGTTGAAACAAGGTTAAAAATGCATGAAAGCAGGATTATTTGATAAAAGATKCACTGAGAACAGGTCTGGGTTATATCTGGGCAGTCTGTTTCCAGAGGCACGCTGATGTGCTGGCTGCACACAGGAGCCCCAGCAGGTAAGTCTGATCCTTCTCCTACTTTCAGACCCACCCTGTGGAGTCAAGAGTTTTTTTGCTTGCTGAGGGATTTTGCTAGATTTTCCACATCCCTTTGGGAAATCATCATTTGAGGAACCATTACTGGAAGCTGAAGGCCACACTTGCACTGAACATGCAAACTCGTGTCTGTTCACAGTGTGCCTTCGTGGGACCAAGGCCCATAAGAAGTGCTACCTCATGTCAGAAGGCACCAAACATTTCCACGAGGCCAACGAGGACTGCATATCCAAGGGGGGAACATTGGCCATCCCCAGGAATAACGAGGAAACCAACATCCTTCGAGATTACGGCAAGAAAAGCGTGCCCCGAGCGTCCGAGTTCTGGCTGGGCATCACGGACATGGTGAACGAGGGGCAGTTTGTGGATGTCAGCGGCATGGCTCTGCAGTACTCCAACTGGGACCGTGCCCAGCCCAACGGGGGCAAGAGGCAAAACTGYGTGTTCTTTTCTCAGTCATCCCAAGGCAGGTGGGTGGATGAAGTCTGCCGCACTGCCAAGAGATACATTTGTGAATTCCTGATCCCATAATTACGCACACAAAAGACCACGGCCGTGTTCTGGGTTATCAATACACAGTTTTGCTTTATGACCCCTCCCACTTAGAGAGTGGAGAGTTAAAATCATACCTCTCCTGCATTGAACTCACTCTTTCCTGAAACAAGTTTTCTTTGTTAATTTATTTTCTATTCRGATGCTAAAAATGTTTAGTGACTACGCTCATTATGTACAGGGATATATATTATGTTGTGACCTACATCGTATCATATTTTAGCATATTATTTCAGCCTGATGTTTGGGTTGCTGGATGTCACCTCCTATTTCTGTACTTTAATTACAAAATATTGCTGCATGGTAACCCTTTCCAATGAGGTGCAGGGATCCTCTCAGCTCTGGAGTTTAAGAGGGGCTTTGAGATTACGTGAGCTCCTGCGAAAAACAGCCATTATCCTTTACAGAGTTTAATGGGCTGGATTTGTGGCCAAAACTTTACCTATGGGTTAAGAATGCTAAACGAGACAGGAAAATCTGATGTTGATTATTTAACTTCATGCAGTTCACAGTGATGCACTGCTAGAAAAATGGGGAGTAGCTGTTTTAAAACATCGGTTAGTCTAGACATGTTTGMTTCTAAATGTCTCAATTATGGTTAAATATTAGATGCCATTTGGAACATTCCCACAGCAGAAACCAGCCTGGGATTAGATCCCACTCTGCCGTGTGAAGCCTGGCTAAGCCTCGTGTTGTGCAGGCTCAGAGAGGCTCTGCCATTCTCAGCCCCTCTCCAAAGCCCCRTGAGGCACAGAGGAGCCCCTTTCTGGCACAGCATTCTCATTCCCTCACCTCTCCCATGGGAAGGGCCACACACCCCCGTGGGACAGAGGAGTGGGGCCAGACCACCTCATGCAAATGTTCCCAGTGTAACACCTCACATTTGAAAATGGAGTAAAACACGCTGGCTGCTTTTTGCTGTTCTGGACATCACAACAGTGTTTTGCCTTTGTGTCATAAATACAGCTTCTCTCTTGTGTATGGGAATTTCATTTAAATATTTAAATATATTGCTTCTTGGAGAATATTTCCTTTTCCTTATCTTTCAAATGTGCAAGACTTTTTTCAATGATGCAATAAATTTGCAATTACTGGTACATAATTGTTGCAGTATTTTTGACAGCTTATTTGGGTGAGGGCCATTCTTTCTTAGGATTTTTCTTGAGGATTCAAAAAGAGCTYTTTATTTTTATTATTGTACTTACAGGCCACAGGATCAAATGTGGTTCCCCACTTGCCCAAAAGCTGTTTGAGATCAAATTACTCAAGGAATCACTGTTGTGTGTTGTAACTAAGTTCATTTTCCAACACTTAATGTATTTATAAAATAGGCCTGATTCTGAATTCTCTCATTTACTCGTGAGTTGAAACAGAGAAGCAAAAAGGCCTTAATAGCACCATACCTGAACAGTGCCTACCACAGATCACTACATCTCAACCTGAACTCTGATGGTTTGCCAGATACCACAAAGAAAGCTGCAAAATGCTCTCTCCCCTTTAAAAAAAAATCAATCCTATGCACATGACCAAACAAACAAGGCAAACCAAATATATATATATTAATAYGAAAAATAAAAATATAATAAACTCATATGAAATACATTATGATAGTGATTGATACACAAAATATTCCATATCCACAAGACTAGGCAGTCAGCATTTTGTTCAGGATMGTAGGTGGCCCTGGGTTTTCAGAAAGGTTGAGAAGTACTCTAAGCACAACACAAGAGCTTTTCTAGTTATAAGCCATTTATTGGTTGGCTGGTCCTGTAACAACTATTTACTAAGCAATACATTAAGCACTCTGTAACCTTTGACAAATTATTTATAACTGTTAATTAATGAAAACCATCCTTTTGTTAGCATGCTGTCAGCATGATTAATCTGTTCTCAGTGTTGTGAAAGACAGATGCCCCCAATAGTCTCATTTGGCTTTCTTGGCAAACAGGAACAAGTAAGAGTGCATAAACAAGGTTACATAGGAAACAGTGATTAGAAGGAAATGATTACCATATGAATTGGGTAATTCTACTGAAATTTTGAGGGAAGGTGACCAGAATAGAATGTTCTGGAGACTCCRCCAGTTTTCTTTCCCAGGCTTTGCGTTAGCAGCATTGCATTGAAAGAAGAGAAAAAGGCCTTTGGTGAATAGGCAGGGAAATGTCAGGTTTCAGTCGAGATACAGATGTTCTTCATTATGCAGGGTACAAAAAACTCTGACAAAGAAACTCATTAGTAGAGCTGGGTGAAGAATGGGTTGTCTGGTTTTGTGGTCAGTCCAAAAAAAAAAAAAAACCAGAGAAAACTGATTACAAGTCTCCCTTACCTTCCATGTCAACCAGGTAGTATTAAAAGGTGATTTTAATTCTTYCTTTTTGTCATTATGCAGTAAACTTTGCTGCAATTAAGAATCCCTGCTTTTTTACCTCTGCTTCTTCTCACCTTCCTGCTCGGCAGAGTATTTACACCACACAGTCATCTCTGCTCCCCTCTTGAGTCAGGAAACAGGGCTGGTTCCTCATTCTTCATAAGATTAAGATAAAGCTGACTTWTTGAGGAAAAATTAAATAGTGCCCTACCAACTCTGCTCCCAAAGGGATGACACTTGAAGTTGGGAGTTAATGATTCATGTGAAAAACATTCAGGAATATGATCTTTCTAACTGAAAGTGCTGAGATCTGCTTTTTAGCACTCTTATGTGCTGCATTTGAGTATTCCAACTGCTTGTTGGGTATTTGTAGCAGAGGATCCCCATTAGAGGATAGTGTGCAGCTTAGGGCTACATAAGTGTGTGCTTTGAGATTTTTAACATATTTTGGAAGTTTCTTGTTACCACCAAAGACAGAAAAATTGTGAAGAGTTTTATGAGTTTGATCAATGWGTTAAAATGCTGGATTCTCTCCAGCTATGAAATAGGGGGTCCAGCACASAAATGTTTGTGCCAAGAAAAGCAATTTTAAAATGAGTAATGAGGGCACATTGTTAACCATTACTCTTAAAAGATCTATTTTTCATTTTAAAGGCTGCACAAGCACAGACTATTTTTGGGAGTAATTCTCCCTTCGGTCCCTTTTCAAACCCACAGAATACATATATATATTCTCATTCAGTAAGGAAAGGTCAACACCTTAAATCAAACATCTTGTGCAGTAAAAGCAAGACTTTCAAGGGAACTCATGACCARGTTTTAAGGAGTACATTCAGACCCGAGGTCCAACAGTGTTCAACACTCAATAATTGAGCCCTTTTAAGAATCCAGCTACTTGGTGCCAACATGATCTTCTAGTCATTGGAAACCTTTTTCTCTGTTATTTCCAGGTCATTATGTACCAGTTGAAATGAAATCCAATGCAGCCATTAATTTGCACTTCCATAAATGCTTTTTTTTCTTATTAGATCATCTTAAAATTAAGTTAGCAGATTAGGCAACTGTGACTGCTTTTTTTCATAACTGAATTACAGGATCAGTAGATATCAGGAATGTAAGTTAATGTAATGGGAGCCTCTTAATGAATTCAAACTGGTTTTCAGGYAGAACAAAAGTTAGCTGAAGATCTGTAAAATAGTCCACTGTAACATGCACAGGGGAAGAWTTCCCACAGTCCTATCAAGGAAACAAAGTTATGACTGCAAACCAGATGTGATGTGCTTCAGTGGAATGACAGAGATTCAGAGAGARATGGAAACAAAAGCAAGTTCAACAGATAAACAGTGTACAGTGAGCCAAAAGTTAACAAGAAGGGGTGGAGAATGACTTAAGATACTTCTTTATGCAAATGCATTACACACTTCAGTTATTTTAAAATAGGTGGATTGAAATCCCTCACAAGTGAAATGTTCCTATGTCAATTGTCAACAGTTTAAGCAAAATCAGAAYCAGGTCAAGAATCTTCTGAGTATTTAAAAAATAAGTTTACTGTAGTCCATACAGCACTAACTTCTCTGACTTATTAGTCTTGTTTTTCCATGTCATAGTACAGCTGCCAGGCTGTGGAAAAAAACAAAAACTCCACTAAAATACTTTTGTAGAATTTATCAGAAATACTGCTCTTCTTCGCAGCAGTGAAGAAAATTATCCAGGATAGTGTGGAGTTGACAGGCACACCCCATGCTGTATTACCTGATTTTGTCTCTGGACTGCTGCAGCCTGAGACTTTGGAGGGGTTTTTACTGTCAGTGGGTAGTAAAGACAAAGTGAACACACAGCTGAAGSTGTTGTGACACTCCTGCCCACCTGCAAGCTGCAGTCTTGAAAGCAGATGGCAAACAGAAAATGCTCTCAGACAAGCAGGGTTTGCTTGCACTGGGGCAGATCCTGCTTTTAATAGCTTCCAACCCAGCAGCAACCCCAAACTTGAAATAACCCTTAGACCTTGGCTGAATTGCCCAAATCCAGGAAAAACCCCCAAATCCAGATTCACCCCCCACCTCGGGCAGTGCC